AAATTGTCTTGAATTTTTAATATAAAAAAGATTAAATAAGCCTGTTTTGTCACTTGGCAGAACTGTATCAGGATGAAGTTTGCCACATGGAAAAAAGGTATTATGAGAACACATTTACCCATTTTAGGCTGCCAATTCAGTTTCTATGTGATTTGATCTTGTAGAAGCAGGTCTAAACCTGTTGCCTTAATAGAAAACATTGACCCCAGTTTAAATTGGACAAAGGAAAAAGAAAAGAAAAGAATGAAGAAATGAAACTAGAAATCCAGAGAATGGAATTTACTGGAAATAAAAGAAGAAAAAAGAAGGAAAAGAGATGTAACAAGAATTTATGAAAGAAATACATAGGCTGCAAAAAGAACTATGTTAACATGCTTTTAGAGAAGTGGAAAGGATTGCAAAGGACATAAATGCTGAATTCAAGTGGGTAAGAAGTGCAAATGGGATAGCCGATTCCCTTGCTAAACAAGGGGTTACAAGGTAGCACCTGTGTTGGGGTTCTATCATCTAGTTGTATTAATCTCATCTATAACCAAATATATACCAATCCTCCCAATAATAGGACAAAATTGACTAAATCAAAACAGAGAAAGAAAAAGAAGGATAACAAAGTCAGATTAGGTCTTATAAGGGAGTAACAAGAATATTCATACTCACTAAAACATTGAACAGACTGTGATATTACGTGAGCAAAATTATGCGACCATGCCACCTCTTCATGCTTGCTTTTTTGCCTCCAATATCCCTCATCCTCATCAACCTGTATTTAGAAGCAAGTATTAGCACACAGTAACTATAAAATCTTGCTAATTCATAAATCAAACCAATTGGCATGATTTGGCAACCGCCAGTATCAAGTGCAGGCATCATATGTTTTTCCCGTTTTATTTGGTGTCTTAAAATTAAAAGTCTTTAGTAGGCAAGTAACTTGTCTAAACCTTGTGTGTAAAATTAAGTTGTTCCTCCACAGACTTGACTCAGTGAAATTCAAAGAACTAAAAAACAGTCAACAGTGGAAGGACTTTTATTTCCTTTTTCTGATTAATTTCAGCATTAAATAAATTAGAGGAAAATTTGTCAAAGGAGTTTCCAAACCAGAAAGATACATGAGGCCTGTGTACAGACTCTACAGAGATCAAAAAATAAAATATAAGAAGTTCCCATGGAATATCCTCCCAATGAAGTTCGCTATATCTACCCTTCTTCTCTACATTTTCAATCTGTTGGGCTATGTCAGTATGTCCAATTTTGATTCTTCGATTTTGTACTCCTTCAGGGTGGATCCCTAGTACCCCGCTTTTTTAGGCTTTCTTGCACCACCAATTGGAATCGGTTTGGAGTTGCATCAAAAGGAGGAAGAACAGAGCGCACGATTAGATGCTTCATAGGACTAGATATTACAATGCTACATTTTGGTCTGACATTATAATATAGAACTTTGAGCACAAGAGAAGCGGGTCTCTCCTTCTATTTCTGTTAACATAACGCCTATCGGTAAGGTCAGGGTGCCGAAGCGAAGAGGGTATAATCAGAAGGAGGGCGAAGTTTTTGTTATTTCCTCATTGCCTTCTTTTGTAAGGTTCTACTGTGTCTTACCCTTTGAAGGGAAGAGCAGGAAGGAATACATTGGCGACGCCTTAGTCTCATATCAGGAGATGTCTACGATAAGATTCCTTCTCCATTTCGAACCAGGAAAGAAGGAAATGGAAAAGAAAGGAAAAAAGAGAAGAAAATAATTGCAGCAATCCATGCTCCGCTTCGTATTCAATCACTCATAATTTCAGTTGTCTATGCAGCACTAATTACGTATATAGAAAGAGTCGAGAAATGGCATTACAGCTAGATGCATAAATAGAGAGATAAATCTCCCGCACCGAAATCCCCGACAGGAATGAAAAGGAGCAAAGAGTGAGTAAAAAATGAGAAAACAAAGAGCGCAATCAACGGGTCCCTCCATGATTTCCTTTCTTTTGTGGCGCAAATGTGCATAATTTAATTGATTGCTTGCAGCAGGAACAAACATAATACGAGAGAAAAGGGCATGCACAGAATGATTGAGGGTAGCGCTACAAACAAATACATACGGAAATACAGAGAAGGGAAGAGAGAAACACCTTGGAATGGATTCAAGAGGAGAGCTTGTGGTTGATAAGATACAGGGATGACCCTCTTTGCGACGGCTCTGATTGGTAAGGCGGTAGGACCGAACCTGAAAGCGGAGGGGAAAGAGGCGGGGGAGGAGGCGGGGGAGGAGGCGGGGGAGGAGGAGGGAGAGGACGAACATCTGAGCTCGACTTCTCTACAATGGGGGGAACAGGGAGGAGGCTGCGTGCAGAGGAAGGGGAAGGAAGAGAGAATGTCTCGCTCTCGAGCGCTCAGACAACCAGCCAAACGCTACACCCTACGCCGTAGCTGTCGGGAGCCAAAGGCAAGAACTACCGTACATAGTGTTCTTTTATGAACCACGCGTAGCTTCAAGGTACCCAGGCTGTTTTTTCCGGCCAGTTTTTCAGGATGGTACCATAATCGGAATACAAATTTGTATTAATTTCAATTTTCAAGCGACCATATCTCGATAATTTGGTTATCACTACATTTATAAATGAACTTTTTTGACTTAATATCTATTTAACCATATATCTCGATCTGAATGATGTATGTTTTATGAAACATAATATCAAAACCAGAAATTCAACTATAGCCTTTTTGCTTTTATTAGTTTTGGAAATAAAAATAAGAGTAGTATGGCCCCTTTTTATTAAGTTAATTATCCGGTTAAATGTATTTATTTAGATAAGTATTTTTTACGAAATATTTATTTGGATAAATACATTATTTATATTCTTTTAAATAAGATTATTACTATTTTATCCATAAAAATTTATAAGACTATCCGGATAAAAGGGATAATTTTGTTTCATTCAAATGATAGTAACTTTTCTCAATGTGAGAAAGTTATTTATCCACTTAGGAAATAGGTATCACTTGACCCCACATAAATCTGAAAAAAAAAAACATGTCAATGGGTATCAAAATCCTATTGACAAGCGTTCTCCCCTCTCAAATCAATATATATATATATAAATAAACAAACCCCATATGTTTAAAATAATATACATAACATCAAACCTTAGTCATTTTTCTATTCTATTCTATTGTGTTAAATTAATGGCACTTAAATCATTTCTTACAATTTCTATCCATGTTTTTATTTTGATTTGTTCCTAACCATTTTAGCCCCTTTAACTTGCAAGGTATCAATTTTTTCTTAAGGATGTTGTTGATGGTCTTTTATACATGCAGGGGGCAACACCATGTTAATCAATTCTTTCATTCATAGTTTTCTTTGAATGATTTCATTAAAATATAATATCAAACCACTGAAAGAAAAGTGTGTTTTTAGTAGCAAAAAAATGTATAAATTCAATTTTTTTTCTTCTAACTTCCAATTTTGAATACAAGAAATGCATTACATAACATTAACATGTTTTTTTTTTCAATAATCCTTTCTCAAACCAGATGTTGGATCCAAGTTTCTGCAACTTAACAAAAAAAATAAAAAATCATATCGGAATAAAAAAGAAACCAACTCAGCTTATTGGATAGCAAGTTATTGTAGTTGGGCCGCCTGTTCAGTTGTTGTTTAGTCAGTTTGAACTAATCATGATGACTCGGTTGTTTTGCATACAATAACCAATAGCAATGGATAGGTTAAGTACTATTAGATCATTGCCATTGTTAGTAAAACTCCGATTTCGACTAACCTTACATTTTGATGCCAAAATATTCAAAGCTTATTTTTTATACTTTATATGAGAAAAAAAAAGCATATTTTTTCATAGAAACACTTCTTTCAAGTGAGAAATAAAAATTTGTGAAAATGTTTCAGCTATCAATCCTAAGTAGCATCTATAAACAAAAAAATCCTAAACAATGAATATAAACTAGCGGGGCGCCCCATGTGCATGGGAATATTATTGATGGTAGGAGGGATTAAAAAAATTATAACCATTATTATATCATTGCCCCAGAAAAAAATTACCTAATAAAAATAATTAAAAACTATGGCTTAAAAAAGAATTAGTTCATCTCTTTGATCGATGGTCTAGCCATTTTATCAAAATATGCTAAGGGTTACTGATTTGGGCATTATTCATTTTTGATAATTGGTTTTGGGGACACAGGATAGGTCTGGGGTCCATATAACTTGCACCAATCCCATATGTCAAAAATTAGCTTGATTAATTAGACGATTCCAAGTCATTTGATTAGGTAGTTGATGGAGGGTGATTTGACCCGACCTCTTAAATAAGGGATACGTGGATATGACTCGACATAAGTGACAGTTCGGCATGACAGCCTAGTCACAACTCGGCATAATGAGCTCGCTGAAACCCCAGCAGAATAACTCACCACTAAGACAGCGCACCCAGCAGCTCATCAAGGTAGCTCACCACTAGGGAGCTCGCTACTAAGTAGCTCACCACCAGGCAGTTCGCCACCAAGGAGCTCCACCATCCTCTGAGTCACAGGTCACCCAGGAGCAGGTCAAATGACGAAATACTTAGCCAAAAAATTGACACATCACAAAAAAATTGGTATATGACTGAAAACGGTTACATCAGTAGTGTACTTCATCTCTCTCTTTTCAATTTGTATAAAAAAAGTATTCCTAAATAATAGGCAAAAAGCAAACACAAATGCATTCCTCCAAAAATTAAGATTGACTATATATATAAGAATCAAATTAAAGAAATTACAGCGGCAAATTAAGACAAAACTGCCTCAAAGAAACCAGATAGACTAAACATATATGGTACACTGAGATGATAGATAGCTAGGACTAGCTAACTGAGTTATGATCATCACGGAACAGGATAAGATTTCCTATTACACATGCATTTATATGCCATGGGGCATGTCTCTGCCTCTGCAAGGGACGCACACACAAAGCTCACCATGACTAGTCTACATGGTGTACATGATCCACAAGCATGCGAGCAATCTGGTAAGCTTGACCCTGCTACTTGAACTGTATCAGGCCCTCTTGCTTTCAATGGCCTTCTTTCTACATACAAGTTGGGTTTAACCGTTTCACCACCTCCTTTTCTGGGTTGTGGGGTGTGACGATGATGATGGCCATGATGATCTGTGAAACACCGTATATAATAACCATAGCGTTAGAAAAGAATAAAACAGAGAAAATCAACCTTACTTAATTTGAATTAATGATCAGATCAAGTAAACGCTAGCTTAATTAAATTTAACAGAAAATCGATGGATCTACTGCTCTTGAGAAGTTGAGCTTAGGGCTTGGTGATAAGTCGGCCCTAATGCTAACGCAGGAGACTCATAAAGTTGTCAGTTCTGAAATCTAAATTATCACCCAAAGCCCCACACCGAAGTAATTGTCTTAATATATATGTTTGAAATATAATATTATTGCAGGTGGGTGGGTCTAGATGCATGAGATGGAAGTATGGAACCAGCTCAGTAATGAGCTAATTCTGCTACAGATTTCTACTTGGTGAATGATGTGCAACTGGGTCTCACTCATAATCACAGTTAGGCTTGTTTCTCGAAACCAATGATCAGTCTCTGATCCCTAGTTTGAACTACAGTTGATGAATATGCAAAGGATGAAGACATACTTGAGCGAGTCCGGCCAATTTGCCTAGCAGAGACGATGACTGTCGGAGCAAGGAGGAGAATGGCTAGAAATGCTGCGGCGAGGAGCGGGGTCTTCCTCATGGCTCTCATCCTTCTGAGTTCTAAGTAGAGTAGGCTTACAAAAAAGTTTAAGTTAGGAGAGTTGAAAGTAGAAGGGTGTATTTAAAAGCAGAGGGTAGAAGGAAGGTATTGAAGCAAATCACAGGCGTTGTATGCAACGAAGTGGAGGAGATCACATGAAGAGGAGGGAGAAGGGAGAGTGCTCACAGGCTTGGGCGCGGGCTCGGTGACGAGTTCTGTCTTCACGCAAATGCACGCTTTTGATGATTTACAGAGAAGGGGTGAGGATGCAATTCCAGTGTTTCTTTTACGTGAATTTTCTGACTGACTTGGATTGAGCAAGCAAGGCCATAAATATTTCCAAGTTTGGTGCTTTTGCTTTAAAGAAATCTTCGAAGCCCGCATTAAATTATCCTCAGACTCAGAGAAGCTTATGTGACCACCATTAATGCTTTTCTGTTCTTCTGCACTGCATGCATGGATTAGGTGTTTGCCCAGCCGAACCACCACCATACAAATAGCTAATCAAATTATATCAAAATGATAGACGGTGATGGGGATTGCTCAATTGGTTCGTCAGGACCCATCTCTTGGGAGTCTGGATTCTAAAATCTGATAGAGGAATGGGCTCTGAAACTTTTCACCAAGGAACCATAACGACATTAAAAGGGGACCGTTTTCCATGTGGAGAGAGGTGTGCTTGAACGTGGCAGGATGCCAGGAAACGCTGTTACGCAGACGAAAGATGGGATCGGCTTCCGTAGGGCAAGTCCGTGCCCACACCGTTCCAACCGCCTTTTCTAACCTTGCATTATAAATATCTCCCCGTTAAATAAAACACATAGGGTGAATTCAAGGCTGTAAAGACTATTCGAACTGGTTTGTAAATTCTCTCAAATCCCCTTCTGCTATATTTTGAGTTCGGCTTTGATAATGGTAAAGTTTGTTCGAGCAGCTTGTATATTAAGGTATTGATACAATATTTTCAATATAGGACGTATCGTATTCGTATTCATGATCATGGATACAAACGTTACAATTTGATACATATCCTACGAGTTGTGTGTATTAGTATGATACGCCTCTGTATTGGGCTGTATCGCACCGTATTGAGACGTTACAATTTTATACATATCCTATGAGTTGTGTGTATTAGCATGATACGCCTCCGTATTGGGCCGTATCGCACCGTATCGATAGATACGGTCCAATACACACTGATATGGAGATGTATTCATGTCTAGTTTGACAAAGTTGTACATTGAGTACTTTTGAATTGTTTTTCATTTTTAATACAAGTTAAAAAATAGTATTATGAAAACTGAAATAAATAATTTAAGATTTAATTTTTCTAAAAAAAATTAATA